GCAAGAATTAAAAAGCTAACACAAGAACTTAGACAGAAAAACTTGGGTGTGCACTATAAAATTCCTCAACAGTACCAAGTGACTGAGGAATAACAGGACCACAATAATTCAGCCAGGCAGATAACCAAAGGCAAGAAATGAAATTAAAAAAGCAGCCAGAGACATACTGTACCTATGAAGAACTAAAGGATTTAAAAAAAAAAAAATCATAGACAGTATAAGACAGTTGTAAACAGGATTAAAAAAGAAAGAAAGAAAAAATGAAAACAGAGCTGGGCTTGGTGGTGAGGGCTTTTAATCCCAGCATTTGGGAGGTGGAAAAAGGCAGATCACGGAGTTCGAGGCCAGACTGGTCTACAAACTTAGTCCAGGGCAGCCAGGGCTACACAGAGAAACCCTGACTCTAAAAACAAAAGAGTGGAAACAAAATGAAATTTTTTCAAATGAAAATTAAGTGAAAGGATTCAATGCTGGTACAACTGCAGCACAGAGATAAAGGAAGCTCTCACCCTGAAGGGAAGGGCCAAGGTGGAAATGGCTTCAGGAAGGGAGGAAGAACACTAGAAATGACAAGTACAGGCATGGTCCTGCAAGAGCCAGGCACAAGAATGCTCTTAGACAGACACTAACAACTCTCCATGCACCCCACAAATACATGAAAAAATGTAGTACTTCAGAGTTTAAGCCTTTGTAAGCAGAAACAGTAAAGCTCAGGTCTGCAGGAGGAGATGGGCTAATTAACAGGGAAGCTAGGGCAGGAACAAAGTCCTGTAGTCCTACATCGAGCAGATTGTACAGAGACAGAGGCCTAGCGGGTAGTGCCCAAGTGGAGTTAGGCCAAAGCAATCCGACAGGACCTTACGAGAAACAAGAAGGGAAGGGGGAAAGTGAGAATTCTTGAGCATAACATCTAGCAGATTCCTGTGGTGGGGCCACAGGCTGAAATAAGAACAAGCAGCCTTGAGCTGTAGTCACACTAGGGTCTATAGAGATCCAGCCAGAACTGATGCCCTTCTCATATGCATGCTCAGATAGGCAATCATGGAAAAAAACAAAAAAACAAAAAAACCCACAACCACTTTATATACAGATGGCTTTGCCTGGGGGGCAGTAGTCCTAGGCAAGGACTTGACATTCACATGGGGGTGTTTTGAAGACTCTGGAGTTAGCTGGGCACTGAGCTCTTTGGCCAGTTTGAAATGACTCAGTGCAATCATGACAGGCGTTAGGTAGTTCAGATTACAGGGTTGAGGTCTTTAGGGTGTGGTATAAGGATGTACAGTTAGATGTGAGAAAAAAAATTGCACCTGTGTGTATAAACCTGTGTAAAAAGCATAAGCAAACATTAATGAGAGATCAGGCGAAGGCATGGTCATTGTTATCTTTTTTTCAGCTTTTCTGTTGTAAAAACAAAACAAAACAAAAAACCTTCAAGATAAAAGTAGGAAAAACACCAGATTCATCCCTGTGCTAAAGACCAGCGGTGACCAGGACAGACCACTAGGATGACCCAAGAGCAGCGGCAGTACTCACAACCCCCAATCTTCTTGCGTAGCTCGCCATAGCAGATGAGACCATAGAGTTCCTGGGATGATTTCTTCAGCCCACGAGAAAACACTGGAAGATACAAGGATAGATGTTAGGCAGGAGGGACAGACATCACAGGGTACAGCCTGTTTAGAGGCTGAAATTTATCACATGTGGATCACAGCACATAGTCACTGACCTCTGGAGAAACTGGCAGAAAGTATACAGGAGGAGCAGTATTGTTTCTAAAAAATGAGGGGTGAGGTCTAAACATTACTCCTGACAGGCAATGCAAATGTCTCCTTAAGAAAATGGCTTAACTGACAAGGAATGTTCTCAGAGAAGGGGGAAGAAGAGCTGAATGGCCAGCACCTTCTGGCATAGTGCTCCCCAAGTGCTGGTGAGCCAACAGCCTGAACTCTGAGAACTCGCCTTACCACTTGCTGTGCCTTCCCAGATGACAACAGATCATATCCATATCCAACAAGTTCTTTCCCAACATCCATCCTTGTCACCAATAGGTGACAGCTTTCATTTAGAAAATAAATAAATGAATGAATGAATGAATGAATGAATAAATAAATAAATAAATAACAACCAGGGACATGGCTCAATATGGAACCACAGAGCTGCTGTGTGAGGCTTCAGAGGCCCCTTTGAGAAGCAGAAATTAACAGAATTCTTCAGGTGCTTTTGCCTAGAGCCATTCTGAGAATAGGGGATCCCAGGATTCTTGCACCTTGCATAGCCCCAACTGAAAACCAGGCAAGAGGAGAGTAAGCCTTCTGTGTTTTCTATACATATTTTCCATTACAGAACAACAGTCTAGGCACTGTCAGGTCATCTCAGAGCAGACAAATGGCCCTCGCAAAATCTCTCAATTGTTTTCTCCTCAGAGATTTCTTCCAGGCCTTAATATTCAGCTGTGTGCAACAGCAAATAAATACACTAGTATGATTCTGAAATGTGGACTACCTCAAAGACTCTGCCTTTCCTAAAATACTAGGGCTGACCAATTCTGAAGGTTTTCCTGGGAGGAAAAAAAACCCAAGACCATTTCAGAATCTCAAGAGGAACCTAAGAGTTCGATAGATAACAAAAAATGTGGCCCATAAATATGATGGAATGTTATTTACACTAAAATACAGGCAAACCATAAAATCATGCACAGTGAAAAAAGCCAAGAAAAAGGAAAAAAAAAAAAACAAAAACAAAAACAACAAACTCATGTATGCTATGAAACCAATTGCATGAAACATCCAAAACAGATAAATCCAAAGACTGTAGAAAGGTAGTTGTAGCAGCTGAGGAGGTTCAAAGTTGGTAGGAAGGATAACAGGCATGGGAACTTCTCTGAAGTAATAGTAATGAAAGTACTTTAAAACTAGACAAAGGCAGTGGTTACAGAACTTCATGAATGTACCAGATCCTGACCTACACAAAACAAAAGGAGGGCGAGTTTTAGGGTATGTGGACCATATTACAACAACAATCACAAATGTTTTTAAAAGTTCAATATCTGAAATATTAAAGGAAAAAGAGCCCCTACAAACACAGAAAAAAAGGGGGGGGGGAAGCACACACCTTTAATCCTACTTGAGAGACAGACAGACACAGGCAAGCATATCTCTTTGAGTTCTCATCCAGCCTCATCTACACAGCCAGTTCCAGAACAGCCAGGGCTACACAGAAAACCTTGTCTTTAAAAACCAAAAGATTTTTTTAAAAAGAAGAAAAAGGAGGAGGATAAAGGAAGGAACAAAAGAAAAGAAAAAAGGTTTATAAGCCCTAAAGAGGATAAAACAGCATCAAAGCATCAAATAAAAAGATAAAAAGTATCTGTAGGCTGGGGAGTGGGAAACTCCAGAGGGAAGAAAACATCCCCAGGCACATCCTTGTTCCATTATAAGGAGTGCTGCACTAGTGTATATATTGGTACAGGCTCAGAGATGGAGAACAGAGCTTGCCTTTTTTTTGTTGTTGTTGTTTTGGTTTAGTTTTTTGGTTTTCAAGACAGGGTTTCTCTATGTGTAGTTCTGGCTGTCTTGGACTAGTTTTTGTAGACCACACTGGCCTCAAACTCACAGTGATCCATCTGCCTCTGCCTTCTGAATGCTGGGAAAGGCATGTGCCACCATGCCCAGCTCCAGAGCTCGCCTTTAAAATATCAAGTCTGTTGGCGAAAACTCAAACTTGACAGGAGATAATACAGAAAGGTGAGCACATAGTGACTGTTCCCTTCCAGGAACACCAGCAGCTGCTGTCAGAGACCTGTTGTCTATATAGAAACAATACAGGACTGTAAGGCTTCTAAAATTCCAGATGACACACACAGGCCAGAATACTAAGCAGTGATAAGAGGGAGTCATAATCCCAGTGATGACTTGCCCTGGGTTATCCCAGACCCCAGGTCGTAACACATGCCCTTCTTATTTCTGCTTTGGTTCTTAGTAATACTTAAGGACTCAGACAAGCTCCATTATAACCCAAGAATAAAGCACTTTTTCTGTAAATGCAACAGATTGTTTGAAATACAAGGAACAATAGCCATGGACAGTACTCAACTTTGTACCATCCACAATGCCTGAAGGTAGAACTAAATGAAGTCAGACGCATTCAATCACCATAGAAGGTATAAACTTGATCCACCACAGTCTTTCAATTGTAGCTCATTAGCCTTCTTCTCACTGGGAGAGACTTCTCAAGAGCAGCTGGAGTGGACCCTCAGTCTTAGAATGACTTTCAAAACTTATGAGCACCAACAAGAAAATAAAAGTGCATAAACAGTGCATCTGGATGGTCCAGATGTTTCACTACAGTTGGACATGAATGAAGACAGCCTTGGATCTCAGAGACTGGACCAGTGCTGATATATGCAAAAAAAAAAAAAACAGTGATGGGACATACAGCAGTGGTGGTAAAAAGAGAAAGAACAAAAAGGAGTTAACTTAAAGTCTGCAGAAAAATCTTTTGTTGATGACCATACGAATTCTGAAAGCTAAGCAACATCCTGAGATCAACTGGGAGATGGCCCCCAGGTATGGAGATTGACAGTCTAATCCCAGGGTCTCTAGAAATGAATAGACAAGAGGAAGAAGGGTGTGTGACCCGATAGATCACTACTCCTCAGTCAGCATGCATTGTCTTTTAAAGCTATAGTATCTTGATGCATATCATGGCCAAAATACTATGACCTGGCAAAGAACACACCACAGAATAGTAAAGATCAGGAGTGTCAAAGGCTGACATGAAGGCACAGGCAGGAATCAGGAGAAGAAGGAATGTGGCCACAGCTTTCTTACAAGAGAAACTCATAAGAGAGACAGTAAACTTTACTATCTGGAAAATAGTATCTGGAAAAGAGAAACTTTACTATCTGGAAAATTTAAAGTCAGTATTCAAAGGAAGGCTTTCTAGACAAGCACACTAGAGAAACTGCAGAAATGCAAGGCAGGATGCAGCAGGCTGGGACCAAATGAGTGTGCGGAGAGAATCCAGAAACACAGATGGAGGAGGTGGCTAAGTTTTACAGGGAAGGACAGTTGATTAGACTATGGACTGAAGAGGCAGTGTCACTGAAGATGTCAACGAAGGGTGCTTTTAAACAGAAACCAGGCCGATAGCTGGAGATGATCTGGGCACCTCCTAGAAGATGAACTGGACTGTGTAAATCCTGACTGTAACACAGATGACCAGAGTCCTTTTAAAGCCAGCATCCACCCCAGCAGACCAGCAAAATTCAGGCTTCCTTGTGCATCCACAGCTCATCTTATCTCAGTGCTCAAAGTCATAGGGGGACCCAAAAACCTTGTGCCATGAGGCTGTTTCCTCCCAGGTTAAAAAAAAAAAAATCTTCCTCCATCCTACGTCTCTTTGTGAGACATAGGATGTAAAAAGAGAGTGAACAAGCAGATAGTCTAGAACTGTATGTTTACAATGGGATGTTCTAGGGGAAGGTAAAATACTCCCTGCAGGGAAGCTCCATTAGGAAAGGAAGTAAACAACTCAAAATAGCTTTAGCAAGTACCTGAAATTGACCACATTTCCTATGCCAGATTCCCTTTGTAAGAGTATATATGCAGCAAAGACTACTAAGCATTTTTCTCAGACAAATCTAACTGTAAAGAAAGCTCTTGGTTAAAGCTCAACTGCCCAGAAGTAGACACCAGCAAAAAGCCACCTTGGAAGAACAATTTCCAACCTGTTGAGTTGATGACAGGGTGTGCAGTGTGCCTTGGCATTCCAGCCTTGGTGATCTGTCACACCTACTGGGTGGCTTGGATGACACAACTTTGCGTCATTTCTGCTACTTCACTCATATTCCTGTAATTGGCCCTCCCCGCCAAAAAACTCATTGGTCCACCAGATTGGAGTTTGGTTGTACCATTGCTTTAGTCTGGTCTGCCATGGGGCCCTCCCTCTTCGGGGCAAATAGATGTCTGTGTTGTACTTCCCATGAAAAGTCTGTCAACCAACACACACACACACACTCTGAACACACACACAAAGACTCTGAACACAGAAAACACAACAGTAGTAAGGTTCCTGTAACACAGATGTGGGCAACTTCCTCATAACTAAGTTTAACCAATAGGCTCTAGGTATGCCACCAAACAAAGCACTAGAAGGCAAGTCCCATAGTAAGCAGCTGGGTGAAAATAGTGTCACAAAGAGTGGGCAATATTGTTTGCCTGAATAGAATCAACTTTGCCTGGTGGTCTTCTAGAGGCTGGGTCTGTGGAACACTCACCATTGTCAAAGTCAATGTATTTGGTAATCTTGTGCCAGGTGCGGTAGTAGAAATGCCGGACCTGCTCTTTGTTCTTCACCATGCTTGCAGGCTTCCCCTTCTTTTTGTATTTTAGAGCAATATTGTTCTGAATGGCTTCAAAATCTTTTCCATGCTAGAAAAAAAAGTCCACAATAAAAGCACAGCAATGAAAATAAAACAACTTCTTTGTACAATGTAGGCATCATCAACAATCAAAAAGGGACCAGCTATGAACATAAAACAAACTAAAACGGCCTCAAAACAGAAAAGGCATAAAACTTATCATTCGGACAGTTTCATTTTGGATGGCCACAAGAGAGACCTGCAGACAAGAGAAGAGCATGGTGGAGAGCTCAGGCTGTCATCACAAAGCATCTTAGAATAAAAATAGGTCACTCCTCAAAACCACCTTGCTTATTTGATCACAGAAAATGGGATCAAAAAGAAGTGACAAATACAAACACTTGGGAACAGAACCAAACAGAAGGCATTCTGACCATTATCTGAGGGCCAGCCCTTCCTAGAAGACCTCCTGCAAAATCTGGGTGTGGAACTTGTATTCCTGTGTTCTTTCTTTATATGCTATAGAGAACCAGCTGTTTGGTGGTCTCAAGAAAACAATCAAGTAGTAAGTACTGAGAGTGCCCTGTCGCCACAGCAACCCAGAACTCAAATAACATTTTCCCTTATCTATCTATCTATCTATCTATCTATCTATCTATCTATCTATCTATCTATCTACTCATTCATTCATTCATTCATTCATTCATTCATTCATTCATTCATTCATGTTTTTTTGAGACAGGGTTTCTCTGTGTAGCTCTGGCTGTCCTGGAACTCCCTCTATAGACCAGGCTGGCCTTCCATGCTGGGATTAAAGGCATATGCTACCACACCCATCTATTTATTTTCATAGAGAATCTGTTCTACAAACAATAGCTAATTCCAGGGCTGCACAAGTATGTGTCAGATGAGCATGGAATCCTAGAGGCGCCCAGACTGAGACCTCACCCAAGAAAAGACAGGTTTCAAACTATTCCCTAATCATGTGGGCACAATTCAGTGATGTGAATGGATCATGATCCACATAATACAGTAGGCTCCATGGGTCTACACGTAACAAAAACACCAACGGGTATGAGGAAAGGCTCTTTTTTAAATGGGATCTGTAATCCTCTGACACAGCAATGGAAACAAGATGGCCATTGGACAAACTCCACAGTGACTGCTGTGTCAGATAAGAAGCAATCAAGTTGTTTAAACTAATTTAAGAAAAAAATGATGGAAAATGTGGTCTTTGCTGTCTCAATATCCAGAATGGTGTGAAAGGTAACACCTGAAAACACTGATCCAGGCTGGCATCACAACTGTGGCAGCTCTCACTTAAAACTAGGTTAGATATAGGAATTTCTCTATTTATTTCTCTATTTGTTTGTTTATTTGAGACAGGGTTTCTCTGTGTAGCCTTGCCTATCCTGGATTCACTTTTTAGACCAGGCTGGCCTTGAAATCACAGGAATCCAGCTGCCTCTACCTCCCTGAGTGCTGGGATTAAAGGCATGCACCACTGTACTCAGCTTTTGTTTTCGGTTTTTATTGTTTTGATGGTTTTTTTTTTGGGGGGGGGGGTATGTGTATGAGTGCATATGAGTGCATGTACCACAGTGCATATGTGAAAGTCAGATATGGCTTGTGTGACTCAGTCCTCTCCCTTCTACTATATGGGTCCTGGAGATCAAGCCAGGTGGTCAGGCTTGATGACACACACCTGCTGTGCCACCTCATTGGCCTTTTTTAACATTTCAAAAATTCTGACATTGTTTTAAAATGAAAAGTTAGATTAATTTAAATTACAACTTGTTCATTGCTTTAAAAAACTTAAGAGGAAGCAGACACTCAATGCTAAGACAAGTGGATAGGGAGGTTGAAGTCAGCCTAGGCAACAGACTGAGACCCAATCTCATGAAAAGGAAAATATTACAGGCACTGAATCATGAAAAAAGGTATTGCTGGGTCTAAAACACCTTGTTTCTGTGTCTAACTGGGAGGCTATCTCCTCAGCAACTGGTAACTTGAGCAGGAAGCATATAAAGACAATCTCACTGCGGTGAGGCCTGACTACCTCATTTATGACTCCTGAACCTGTATTCTCAAACTACACTATCTGTGGGATCAGAGTATGGGCCTTACAGTCAACCTGAATGTGCCTGTCGTATTTGTCTGCTATGATGGTAAGCCACTGAAAGGTAGGGCCAGAGGCACCACTGCATTCCTAGAATCACAGTTCCAATCTCATTATGAACATGATAATGGCTCAACAACAACAAAAATTATGCAAAATTGGGAGAGAAAAAGACTCAAAGTCAAAGTGGTAAAAACTCACAGTATTTAATCAGCAAAAAGCCAAAGATATCCCTGATGCCTATGTATCTGCAGGGACCTGGGTGAGTACTTTGAGGTGCACATCAAATTCAAGGCCTTCACAGCAGTTCTCAATGCAGTATATTAAGCACAGTATGGTTAAAAGAGTAATGATTTTTAAAAACCACTCACATAGGTAGAAGGCAAATAAAATAAAAACTTGGTGTGGGTTTTATGTTATATAGAAATACCATGAAAACAAAAGAATTTAGCCAAGGTCTACAGCACGTATCTTCAGGACACATCCACATGCCCACCTTTACTTGATTCTAGTTGCTGCTAGCCACAGAATGGAGTCTAGATGGGCCATCATCTGAAACACCAACGCTCAGACCCAACGCTGTCCTTATTAGAGCTGGAGATATGGATATATTAAACAAGAGAGAAGAAATAGACTGAGGACAAAGACAGCAGTGGAGTCCCTGCATCTGGCCAGCCATCTGCAGCCTCTAGGCCAGGAGTGTTACTGTGAGTTGGGTTCCCAATAGTAACTAAGTTAGACTAGGTTCCTCGAGAAGACAGTGAATGTGAAAATCTATTTACTTAGTTGGGGAACACCGTGCCTAGCATGCACAAAATGTCTCATTCCCAGCATCCTTATGTGTACACACACCGAGATATGTTGACAGATATTACAGAGACAATTCTCAGAACAGAGGTCTCTGCCCAGCTACCATTAATCCCACAGCTGGAGATTTCAGTTGCCCACACTTACCTGACACTGGTCAAAGAGACAACAAGGCTTCATCAGGATCTTTTAGTCAGAACCCAAATGAGACATAAGGCATATGTACACACTCTTGCATTCATTTTGTCAACTTGACGCCAACACTAATAACATTACTACTCATCAAGGACTTAGGAGATCTAAGCACACGTCCAACTGGAGAAAATGAAACAAGGCTAGCCCAAAGATAGGAAATGCTAAGCACCTGAACGATGGCAGAGGATGCTCTTAACAAGAAAACCTTCTGCCACTGCTCTCAATCAACAACCACATCTCACATTTCATTTTCTGTAGCTGGATAGCCAAGCCAGACCACTTGCAGAGCTCAGTCTCCCAAGAAGGAAGGAAAATACCATGGTAGTTACAGTTTAGGAGAGGACTCACTAACATCTGCACTCTTACAACCCAGCAGGAATCACAAGTCTTCTATACCTGACAGCTTTAAGAAGCATAACTAGAAGATGTATACAGATGGGGTCTGTGCTTTATTATAACTCTGAAAAGAAAAAAACCATTGTTTGAATGGTTCGGCAACTACCCTAACAAGTCTTTTATGTATCTATTTCATTCTTTCTATGAATAACAAGGGTCAAGTCATGTGAACATACCAGTCACACTACCCTGGAACGGCAGAACTTAGGCCATCAGCCACAGGACGGAGGAGTACAGCCGTAGGAATATAATGAAGCCAAGTCTGTGGCCCATTAGAAGTGTCTCCCTTTCTAATCTTCTGTAAACACTTCATGGTTTAAATTCCTAGGCTTCATTCGTGTGTTGTACTTGTCCTTCCTAGGCTTCCCCAAGGTGCATCCACCACTCTGGAGAACTAACTAGCAAGAGGACAAGGCTCACAGATTAAGTCAACATGACAAAGAAGTCATCTAAAATAAGGAATGTGAGCCAACATGTTCACTACAGTGTTATATACAATGACAGAATCTGCAAGGAATTTTAAAAAAGTCTTAAGACTGGATAAATAGGCTGGGCAATCAGCGTGGTAGTAAATCCCTTGTTTAGCATGCACAAGACCCCAGGGACAGATGCACACATTTGCGCATGAGACACATCTCCTGCAACCACTCAACTCTGTTACTAGATCATCAACCAGCTCAAACAGCATAGGAAGGAATGGGCATGGCTATCCTCCAGCAAAACTTCTTCTTTATACAAAACAGACAAGCTGTATACAGGACCATCTGCCTTCGTCCCAAGCAGCACATTTATAGGCATTTTTGTTGTTTTAAGGAGCAAAAGAGCTCAGTAATTAAAAGAGCATAGGCTGCTCTTCCAGAGGACTCAGGTCATCGCTCAGCATCTACATGGCAACTGAATTGCAGTTCCAGGGTATCTGGCATCTTCTGTCCAGAGGGTACTGAATGTATGTGGTATAAATACACATACACATAAAACTAAAATAAATATATTCCCAAAAAAGTAAAAGTAAGCACCATGAAAAACACATTTGAAGATAATGAAAGTGTGTTCACAAATAACTACAAGGCTATGAGAAGCAAACTTTAAAGTGCAGGCAGCTGGCAAGGCACAGTTACATCAGTAGACAGTAGGTCTGGGAAGTGGCTTTTCTACTTGACACTTGGCTCTAAGTCAACTGTAATATCTTCTGGGACTTAGCTGCTACTCTGGCTGACAGGGACAGGTATTTGCTCGCCCTTCTGCACTTGGTCAGTCAATATATAGCCAAGGGAAGCCCAGTGGAAATGAAACATGACTGAGAGCCTTCGGAAGGAGCATCATCCTAATAGCTCCAGGAAGGAGATGACAGCTACCCTGACCACTTGTGGAATCCTTGATAGAATCTGCCCACTTAACAACTATGCAGCAAAGGGAAACATGAGGCAAACATGAGAGCTCGGGAGGACAGCCACTGTGGGTCCTTGCCTCATGTCTCCAACTCACCTCATACAGGCCTTCGAAGAAGGTGTTCTTGTCCTCTGTGCTCCACGACTCCCACTGCCTCCGGACCTTCTTTCCTTCTTCCTTCTCAGGCCCTGAAGATCCTATGTTACGGGAAGAGGAGCGCGAACCTCCTGCAGGGGTGGCAGGAGCAACCCCAGACACGTTTCCAGAAGAAGATGCACCACCGTCGCCTCCTTGGAGAGAAAGACTATACAGTAACCTGTTCCAGGAAGCTGAGGGATAGGAGCAAGGATAGGACAGAGGGCACGAAGAGCAAGGGCTCACTGCCAACCCACCCCAAATCTTCAATAGGTAATGCCAGCAAAAGAGCACCCAAAAGCCAACTGAGTCCTGAACAGAAGCCAGAGTTGACCAGATGATTCTACAATGTTTGTACAGTAAGGAGAGAGCCTGGGTGGACTGTTTTAACAATACAGTGAATCTGACATTTTGTCCATATTGAAGTATAATCCCTGCCCCTTTAGCAAAGCCATGAATCACATTTCATGCTGATTCTTTTTCAAATGTGTTTATTTTTAATTTGAAATACCCTTACCATGTTTCTGAATAAGCAAACTGAACTTCAAGTAACAGGGGGCATTTTATGTATAAAAGACTATCTATATAATAAAAACAGTTGGTATTTCAGAACATGGACCACTTAATGCCTAAGGTGCTATATAGTCTAAAGACCCTTATCTCTTGCTTTTCCTCTCCAGAAATAGAAATTTGACTCTAGCACCTTGCACATGCTAGCTAACACTCTAAGCATTGAGCCTATCTCCATACCTAAGATCTCCATTATCTTTCATCTGCCTCAACATTATCTCTGGGGTCCTAAAACACCAACACCCTTAACAGTTCTCCTGCAGCATCAGTCACTGATTTTTAGCAAAATCCTTCCAAATCCTTTGCTAACAGAGTAGCACAACAAAATGTAAGGGACCCTGGAGACAACAACACCATTACAGATGAAGAACTTAGCACTAGCTCAGTGCTCTGCCAGTTGAGCTTCTTGCTGTAGAGAACAGGAACTCACAGCACTCCTACATTAACCAGTAGTCTCCTTTTATAAGACTGCAGAACCACACACTGCCAAGAACCCTTCCAAGCTGGAAACAATCATATGAGGGAGAAATTAAGATCACGGAAGTAAAAATTCTTTAATTTTTTTTGTTTGTTTTTTGTCAGTCTCATTGTGTATCACAGGCTTGCTTTGAACTCATGGCAATCCTCCTGCTTCAGTGTGCCAAGTACTAGGTTTAGAGGCCTTCGTACCATGTTTAGATCAGAAAACTGTGAAATGTTTTCCTAAATGAGATAGTTGTAGGCCTCCCCATCTGAGACTTAATTTCTAGTCAGCCTGGTGAGGCTCTTCCTGGATAGCTTCGGGGCTACTCCCCCCACTAAGGTCTCCCTTTACTGGGGAGTTTTCAAAGAAGCCGTTCATAGAAGAGTGTGAAAGATGAAAGTATTAACAATTAGAAGTCCATGAATGCACACACACTTGAAAAGAGTACCTCTGACTATCTATCAGGACATGCATGAGGGCTGCCCAGCAGGGGCTGCTGAGGGCAGGGATGGTAGAGATCCGACTCCTTGCAGTAGCTTTGTCTAGCCCTAGGTATATGTTGTAGTCTGTGTCACTAAATATAGTTACCAACGACTGATGGGATGGTATGAAATAATCCTTGGGATCTCAATCTTTTCTCAGTCTGTCAATGTCCAATATAATCTCCAGATGCTGGGAAATGGCATCAAGCTGCTGTGTCCAGGCAGTGACAAGATCAAAAGGAGAAATAAATAATTCTTTATGGGACTGTGTAACTCAGCTTAAGTAGCTTTAAAAAAATACATTCTTTCTACTGTGTGCATACATGTTTTGTGTCTATCTGTGTGAACGTGTGAAGAGTACCCAAGGGAGCCACAAGAGGGCACCAGATCCCCTGAAGCTGGACTTACATACAGTTGTGAGGCCCCTGATATGGGTGCTGGGACTGAATTCTGATTCTCCAAATAAGATGTAAGAGCTCTTAACTGCTAAGCCATCTCTCTAGCTACAGCTTAGGTTTACTAAGTGGACTTTCAGCTTAGCAGTCTCTACCCTACCATGGGTTTACTAGGAGATAACCCCATAGTGAATCAAAGAGCAGCCTCTTTCTTTCTTTCTTTCTTTCTTTCTTTCTTTCTTTCTTTCTTTCTTTCTTTCTTTCTTTCTTTCCTTCCTTCCTTCCTTCCTTCCTTCCTTCCTTCCTTCCTTCCTTCCTTCCTTCCTTCTTTTTTTTTTTTTTGAGACAGGGTTTCTCTAAGGGTAGCCTTAACTGTCCTGTAACTCACTCTGCAGACCAAGCTGGCCTCAAAATCAGAGATCTGCCTGCCTCTGCCTCCCGAGTGATGGAATTATAGGTATGACCCACTACTGCCTGGCCAAGCAGCCCGTATTTCAAAGTAGAATATTTGAAAACATCTCACACTCAGAAGCCAGAAAACTGCACATTTGCACACATGGAAAACATTTAGCTAGTTACATCAACTTGGCTTTAGTTTCTCATTTAGATATTTGTGGGTTAACTTCAAGAGGCAACATTATCAGAGTTATAGAAGCAACACAGAAAGTGATGGTTTGCCAGACAAACTGTCCAGTTACCTAGCAATAACCACATAAGGCTATTTTAAGTATTAACTAAGGTTAAAAACATGGTGGTGCATGCATTTAATCCCAGCACTCAGAAGGTAAAGGCATGTAGATCTCGTGAGTCTGGGCCAACCTGGACTATGTATTGAGTCCTAGACCAGCCACAGGTTACATAGTGAGACCCTGTCTCACAAAATAAACAAATAAAAATAAATTAATTAACAAAAACATATAAAAGAAACCTAGTTCCTCAATCTCACTGACCAAATTTTCAACATTTAAAAACTTCACATGGCTCATGGTCACCTTCCTAGATAGTATAAAACATTTTACTAAGAGTAGAAATTGCTAGACCAGTCAGTGCTGTATTTGAGACCCAGTATTTACTGCTCTGAACACAAACAGGATGAAAACAGACTCCAGTCTGCATCTACACCGGCACTACTACTCAGGTCCCTGGGCTACACAGCAGGCCAAGGAAGGGCTGCACACACCTCAAGACTGTCCCTTCAACACAACAAACCTGGGGATTCTCAGGGTGTGTGAAACAGGCAGGCTGTGAAAGCACTTCCAGGAGACAAGAGATGTTTCTGTCTCTTGTGTCAAGACACAAGTTAAACGATTCTCAAACGCCAGACTGTCTGGTTCACAGGAACCCACAGTTCTCTACATGCTGCCATTTAGGAAGTGCTGGCTGTCCACCTTTGTACCTCACAATGGAGGACTTCAGCTATTTCTGGGTTCTCAAGAAATGGAAGCTCTCTTCTCCCCAGTAATAAGCATGCAAGCCAGCCAGCCCTTTGATGACCACTTGTTAGTCCATGTTGGCACTAGCATGCTCAAAAGTAAAGATGCACAGCATCTAAATCCCAGAACCCAAGTGTCTGACAAATGTCATGTGATTTTACTAGTTCACTGGTGACCTAGATAAGGAGAGTGAAGTTTGCAGGAAAACTGAATGGATGCCAATCTGAGGTAGAAGGCACCTCAGGGACAGAGCAGACCAAATCTCAATCCTGAGCACAAAGTTACATCAGTGAGAAGGGCTGAGGCACCAAGCAACTCCTTAAGAGCAACAGCCAACGTTCCAAGAACCTACCATTTGCTCTGAGGTAACTGGTCCTTTCCATTATTTCAAAAATACTATGACCTCAGGAGGGAAATTAAGGCAACCTGGATATTCAAGTACAAAAGCAAATTACTCCGTGTAACCATTTCTAGCATTTACTCTGCAGCATCCTAGAACTTGGAAGCTTGGAGAAAGAACACTGACACCTAGTCTCCCTCCAAAATTTCAGGTGAAGACACAAAGAATAAAAATAGAAAGCAGGACCATGGTAAGAGCATGGAAGAGGTTCAGTCCAGAAAAATGCAGAGGAAGAAAGAGTGATCGATGTGAGCAGGAAAACTGTAGAAGTAAAGACAAAAGAGGTGACTTCAGAGAAAACTGCAAGGACTGGAAGTTTCCCCAGGAAGCAGAGGCCAAACTCCCTGGGTGCAGAGGTGTGTGAGAAGCCCAAGGCTTCCACGGGTGCCTTGGAGAGCACAGGGCTTTGCTGAGAGTATGTATTTATCTTTTATTTTATTTTATTTTAATTTATTTATTTTCCCCAGAGCTGAGGAACGAACCTAGGGCCTTGCTGTTGCTAGGCAAGCACTCTACCAGTGAGCTAAATCCCCAACCCCCGAATATGTATTTATCAAAGCCAGTGCCACTGAAACCTGAAGAGACATGGTGTACACAAACAGGCTTTCCAAGGGAGAGCCCCCTTGAAAGCAAAGACAGGGTCCTGTTCTCCCAGACCCAAACTTGCAACAATGGCAGCTCAGGAGTAGTAGACAAAGGGCCACTGGGCTGGCTTAGTCTGGCCCTCTGTGTCTCAGTCTCCACACAAGCACATCCCAGGTTCTGGAGACCTCTACCACAAACCCATCACTGCCTCTGGCCAGCACCAGTACCTCAATCCTTCAGGTGCCTCATTACCATTGGGTAAGGCTGTTCCCTACCAATTCCAACATTTTCCTCTCTATACACACAGCTAACCATCCCTACAGAAGGGGTCTCCAGAGCACGTATGGCTGTGGTTTCCTTCCCAGTTGCTCTGACATCACTGGCGGAGGACAAAAACCAACCTGGCTATCAACCAGGAATACTGAGGAAACAGAGTAGCTCTTCACTGCTACATGGCTGCTCAGTACACAGCAAGCCTAAGAGTAACAGAATATGACTTAAACTTCACATACACACGTGTATAACTCCATTCTTTTAAGTAGAGCTCCAAAGCTGCAGAAAAAGAACACCAGCACCTAGTCCAGACACAAAACCTATTTTAGAAGTGGAGAGACTGGGCTACGACAGCAATGAAAGCCCCAAAGTCACCAGGCAGGGAAAAGCAAGCCTGAGCCAACTCTCCCACTGTACATGCAGGTTTCTCCCTAGGCCACGCTGCTGCCCACATCCACTCTGTGCTGCTACTAATCCTCTCCAGAGTCACTACCCTCTTCCTCCCCAACCAAAACAGCATATGGCAGAAGCTTCTATTATACGAAATACCACAA